GTTACTAGATGCCTACAGTTCTGCTTCTGCTTGAACCCAAAAGTACTGTAGTATTGATCAAGAACCACTTCGAATGCAATTTTGACCCTCAGCCCATCAGGATCCATAGACCAAGATGTCCTCTCCCTCTGCTATTGAGAGCTCCTCAAGTCCCCACACAATACCGCGACAGCCGCTTCCTTTAAAAATTTGGCTAGGATGGTTTTAGCTTCATACTGTCAAGCAGTTCCAGGCTGAACCTTAACCTTGAGAAAATCACCAGCATGCTGCAGCTCACAAGGGCCATGTCCCAGGCACTGAGAACCTTGTTGTGTATTCTCCTGCTTCCAAACCTGCCATGACTGACTTCAAGTGTTTGTTGGTGTCTCGTGCTCATGTTGCTGGAAAGGAGCTGATTCAGCTTGCTTGAGGCAGATGATTCTCCGTAGGGTAGTTTTACATGACCCTTAACATCCAGCAAAAGCTTATCTGGAGTAGTTTCTCTGTGGATGTGAATCCAAGCTAGTGAACAACAGCTGTGGCCAGCATGGTTTCAGAAATGTAAAATTGTCCTATTTTCTGACATGGTTTGATTAGTAAGGTCATCATGTCACCTCCAAGAACTCCATGATGAGTAAGGATTTCTTTTAGCCTGAAAACTGTAAAACGTTTTCACTGCCTAGATTTGATCTGCTCAGCCAAAATGCCAACTTCTGCTGGATTATGAAACCCCTGCTCTCACTCAGATGGCTGTGTCTTGCTCCTAATCCCAAAATCACAGGGCAAAGGCACCTGACTAATCTGGTGCAGAGCTCATCTGGATCCAAAACAATCTGAGCATTTAAACTCCTTGGTGTGCCTTATCTATGTATACTTATGCATCCCTCAGGAGGTACCTCTCACTCTTACTTACCCTTTACAGGACGACAACAAGGTTAGAGTTGTCCTTGGGGTGTGGGAGAGACTGGACACAGTACCCTCCTCTGCCTCAGGGACTTCAATCCCATGTTTGAAAATTGAATCTCTTCTCAGCTAAGAGAGCACTTTAGCTATAAGGGCACTGTTATGGAGTCATGAAATCATCCTGTTGAATCTGTCATGTTTTTAAGCAGGCTACAGATTCCGTGAGGAAAGGAGTGAATGCCTGAGCTAACCTAATAGTTAGGGGGTTGAGGTCTTTGCCCCTCTTCTGCCCATATCTCTTTATGTGTTTTACCTAGTAAGTATGTAATTCGAAATACTCACGCAGACCATGGCAGAGATTCCCTGCTTCCCACCAGCCTGGATCTGCTCAATATTTTTCTAATTGCTCTTAAGGTCTTTGGTATAACTTTTTTTTGTTCTCGTTTTTTTAACAAAAGTTCTGCTTTTAGGAGAGGCAGCAAAGAGAATTGCCCTGTTATAACCTTGTGGTGCTTGTGACCCTGGCAAGGCAGATGACTATCGATTGCTAAGTATTTGATTACACTAGCTGAGGCATTGTGCCACAGACTTTGTACTCTTTCTTTTCACCCGTCACTTGCATCCATGTGACCCCAGCAACAGGGGTTTAACTGAGGTTAGAAAATTATCAGCCATGGGAGCAAACCAAAATGCTTGTATATAGCCCAATATTAAAAAAAACAAAGAATCCCTATCCAAACTGTTCAAACTGCTCATATGCATGTCTTTTGTCACAAAGCAGAAGCCTACTCAGGGGCTTATACTGAATCTTTTCAGCTGCATAACACTAGGTCAACCTTAAAAAGTGTCATTGCTCTGCAGAGACCCCAAAGACATGCTGTATACTCCTCATGTTACATGAGTCCAGAACTGAGCAGAGAGAGCTGGTTGCCTTGGTTGTATACACTGAATATCAATCCACAGGCTGTGGGCCCAGACATCCAAGAAGAACTGCTACTCCAGCAACAGAGTGGTGGCAGGCTGAGTGGTGAGGACCATGGTCCTGCAGGAGTTTGGGCAGAAGCACTTGAGCCACCCTTGTAGGACCCTGTCTGGGTCAGTGCTGGTTTCTGCCAATTTATGATGATTCTTCAGTTAAGTCAGTAGCCTCTCCACAACATTCACAACTCAACTTTAGTCTGTGGGGTGCATCCTGTGGGTTTTTTACCTTCCCCTGAGTTCTCTACTGTTAGTATTGGTGTGTGAGCCAGCTCAGGCAGGACACAGGAACAACCACAAAACCATGGATGAAATACAAAGAAAATTTGGTTTTGTTACCTTCCCAATGGGAGGATCCCCAAAGCAGCACACAGGAAGAGGCACAGAAGCAGGGATGCAGGTACCATAGAGCTTGGTGAGTGCTACAGGATCACCAAACCTGCTGTTTTCACCTGTATATCGGGGGTTCAGGAAGATGTAGTTTATCACCATGACTGATCTTTTTCACAGAAGGGCAGAAATCTCAAGCATGTCCAATAGGGTGCCTCTAAGTCTATCACAGGCTTATGTTGTCTAAACACAGATTTGTCCAACACACAAAGCTAGACAATGATTAGTGTGATGGTTTTTGATGCCCCAGCTGCAAACCACTTGAGTGTGTTCACAATCCTCCTTGCCAATCTTCTGTTATTTTCCCACACTTGGGTAGCTGAAAGTCAGATCAGCTCTATGAGCTACTGCATACTTCAATTTCTTATAGAACAAGTGAGCTGAAAGAAAACATTAAATCCCAATCAGAAAAGTCTGGAGCAGTCAGTTTGAAGGAGACAACAGGGAGTAAAAGAAGGCTTAATTTTCCAGGAAACCTGGAATTAGCTGAACAGTCATCTTATCTTTCATCTGCTATTGCAATTCCTTTTCATCAAGGAAGTGTAGTTTGTGTAAAACATTGCATAGCATTGCTACCCTAAAACCCTGTTGTTTTAAGCAGGATTTGTTTAAGAAATGGGGAATGATAGTCTAATCATAATAACATGTGCCAGGATGCATGTGATGATGATAATGTCAGGCTTGCATGCGTTCTCCAAGTCAGACCTCCCTTGCATTGAATGTGCTATAATTTATATAGGTTGTACAAAATATCATTGACAGAAGTATGAAAACAAGCTGTACTGGATACTTCCCTTACCAAGAGAACCAAAGTAATAATTCAAAACCCCTTGCATTATGCATAGGTTTAATATTATACATATTACAAATGGCAACAAATTGGTGTTTTCCTTTGGAAATGAAAAAAGATTGAATAAAATGATAAAGACAACATGCAGGTGATAAACAAACACACTGCACAATATTTTTATTAACCTTTGAATATTTAGCACAGTGGATAGAAAGAAATGAATAGATAATTTAAAGCAATTCTGGGACTCAATCCAAAATTCCATGTTTAGGAATTATCGACTAGACTGGATGTCATGCCAGAATGTGAAATTTGAAAATATCTAATAGCCCTGTATCTCATCTTCTGTGATGAGACTTACTTTTGAGTCAAGGAAGAGAGGTCAGACCATAAGTCCCTAGAAACATACAAAACCCGGATAACTGCGTTTGAAGTCCATTTGTTCTTTTCATCAGCAGGTGATAAGAAAGCTGTCTCTTTCAGCCTGAAGATGTTTCATTAAAAAATGGACTTGTGTGACATCCATCCGTCTATCATTTGCAGCAGAGAAGGACAGGGATGTTACAGAGGAGCAAATTATATTATCCCTTGAACAACTGTATCATCCTGGAGCACTTCTGAGGAAAGACTGAGGGAACTGGGTCTGTTCAGTCTTGAGGAGTGAGGTCTGAGAGGGGACCTCATTAATGTATATCAGTATCTGAAGGTGAGGGGGGCAAGATAATAGAGCCAGGCTCTTCTCAGTGGATCAAACCAATATAACAAAAGGTAATGGGCAGAAACTAGTTCACAGAAAGTTTCACCTGAATACAAGGAAGAACTTCCTTACTGTGTGAGTCACTGAGCACTGGAACAGATTGCCTGGAGAGGTTGTGGATTCTCCCTCACTGGAGATATTCAAGAACTGTCTGAATGCAATCCTGAGCTATGTGCCCTGCTTGAGTAGGGACGTTTAACCTGATGACCCACTGTGGAGGACAGGACCCAATCTGACCAATTCTGTGATTCTGTGATTTCTTGAATTGCCCTTATGGATATGACACCATTAAAAATGAAATTTGTGGGCATACTACCCATGATAACTTTAATGGAATTAGACTAGGACGACCTAAGGAGGCTTATGGAAATATGGAGTTTAGGCAATGGTGCAAAATCCAGCCAGAACCATTGGTGAATATATGATGGATATTGATTTATCTCCATATTGGTGTTTGAGCTGTCTAGTTTAAAACTGATTTAGGTGGCTTTGGATGAGTGCATAAATCTTTGATAATGTTAAGGTGTTAAAACAACAAACAGTCTAGGGATGCATTTGGTTCAGCCAATATAATTTATTTTAATACAGTTACAACTTTCTGAAAATAAGTGTATTACAAAGAATATAATACAAGTTTTGCCATTTCACTTGAACGTGAACATTTTTGTAGGTTTTCTTCAAATCTTTTTCTAGTTTTTCATAAAACCATAAAGGTACTTCCCCAGAAAACTCTCCCCTCCCCACTGTGAATCTTCCTTTTTTACAACAAAAACTTTATTTCACCTGTGAGGAGAACCTCCCCCCCCTTCAATTATAAAAAAGAATAAGTCTTAACTGTAGTTCAATTTTGACAACAATTTGAGTTAACTGATTAAATTCTAACTAAAGTGTGGGAAAGTATTCGCTGACAGAAAAAAAAGGCCACTACTGTACGCATGCAATTCAAAATATTAACTTGCATTTCAAAATGGTTAGTAAAAAGGGAGATGTTTGCATCAACACAGTGCACTAAACCCATTGCATGCTGGTGCTATACTGCTACACATATTCTATCAGACTGGTGAATTGGCATCTTCATACAGGTTTTCTCACAAGATTTGAAACATTTCATTTGCATATATAAAAAAAAGTATATAAAGTATATGTTATCGAGTGTATTTATATAGTGCATAGTCTATGTGTATAATATAAAACATACATTCATCAGCATTTCAGTCTATACCTGAAATCAACATCATTAGATGGTTGCAAAATACCCAGTCCTGCACGGGATTGATCTAGAGAAGGACATTCCACATTGTTGTCCACAAGCTCTATCTCAAAATATGAAAACATCAAAGTCAAAAATTGTTTGATTTCATGCACTGCAAATAACCTGCCAGGGCATTTTGCTATGCCTGTCCCAAACGGCATGTAGTAATACTTCAACTTGCGACCATTGCGGTAGAAATCAGTCTTTTCTTCTCCGTTCTCATTCAGGAAGCGATCATATTTGAATGTCTGTAATTAAACACACAAAGAGTTACTTGATACTAGAGTACCTCCAAAGACCAGGTAAAGCCATTAATACACGAAATGCAGGCTGGGAAAGAGAAGCCTCTGGAGATAAGCATTGTGCAGTAGCACCAGGTCCCAAGGTGCTGTTTTGGAAAAGATAGCCCCTGAGACATTCTGGTACACGGGACATGATCCCAGGTTCTTTGCTGATAACTCTCCTTTTCTTTCCTGACCTCTGCGTATCAGGATGATAACCTGCATCCTTGTTCATGCAGCAGAACCAGGAGAGTTCTCATTCTGTGCCTTTGGGAAAATATTATCCTTATTCTTGTCCTTCCTCAACACGCCCCATAATAGGGTCTTCCCTCACTGAGGAAGGGAAGCAGAGGGCTGTCTGGGACTGGCAGCACAGTTTTTGGTTACACTAAAACATGTTTTGCAGAGAGTGCTTGCACTGACTTTATTCTTTTCCTTGCCTACCACTACACCACCGGGTGTAAGAACAGACTGGCTGGAGTAAACAGAAAACCAGCTGTGGGGAACCCCAATAAATGCTCTATTTAAAGGCCCATTACAACAGAAAACCAGCTGTGGGGAGCCCAAATAAATGCTCTATTTAAAGGCCCATTAGCTTCTGCCAGGGCTCCAAGTTTCATGCATTTTAAAAAATACTTACCAAGGGATCAGCATAGATTTCTGGATCAAAATGCAGCAGTGGAGGATAAAGAGCTACAATATCATCTTTCCGAATGTTGTAGAAATCGTTCTCTAAGTGCAAAGTGAAATCCTCCTTGGCAACTCGGAAAGTCATGGAGGCACTTGATAGCCTCATTGCCTCCTTGATGATGCTGTCTGTTGGGAGAGGAAAAGGAGCAATTACCATGGAAATAGTATGTTCACATCCTTGGGGGAGGTCATCCATATTGAGCTATTTCATACCCATTATCAAACACTGAATATTTTAATAATAGCTTTCTAAATGCCGAAGAAAGTATCTTTCTCATTTCTTTTTAGCATTTCTATCCCTTCTGCAGACAACACTCAGAACCTAATCTGCTTTCCCCTAGAAAAGTGCTTATATTTGATGCAACAGAATGAGACATATTGTCACTCTGAGATAAAGAACGAACCAGTGAAAACTGGAAACATTAGAAGAAAAAGAAAGTGCAGTGATAATTTTTTTCTGAAACTTTGAGAGGTGCTGCATAGAAACCCATACTCAGAAAAAAGTAATTTGGGGTGGGGGGGTTGTTTCAATATAAGCTGACTTCTTTTTTTTAAAGCAACAGTGGTTAAAAGGCAATATTATCAAAACTCTCTGTAACATCTGAAAAAAGTGCTTACAATTTGAAAACTAGTAAGAAGAAATAGAATCAATAGTATATTGAAATATTACTTCACATCATAAGAATTGGGATATAAAATTTGGCAACACCTTTTAATTTGATCTAAAGTCATAACTAAATAAAATATTGTTCTGAATTATCCATGGGTCTCCAATACAGCTTACATAGCCATGTAGGAGTATTGAGACATGCCATTACCAGTGAAAACGTGCTATTCTTGTGAATTTTGATACTCTTGGTACCATCTGGGACATTGGGAAGCCTAATTGTGCTGGCTATTGCTAAGGAACATAAACATATTTTCTTGTTCTACTACTATTCCTTTACTAATTCAATAGTAATCCGATAGCAAGGATTTATATGGTAACAAATAGAAGACTATGGAAATTGTAGCATGATTTCTGGTATTCCTGCCTAAAATAATCATACCTAGTATTGGCATATTGTCCAGCTGTTTTCTGTTCAAGGAAATACGTTTGCCATCTAAGCTGATACTCTCTTCGGCACTTTCCAAAACACTTTGCACTTCTTTGGCAGCAGCTCTCATTGCTTCTGGATTCCTAAGATCAAAAGAGCAAAGGTATAACCTAATTTTACACTCAAGAATGCTTTAAAAAGGGGTTTGACTATTAACTTTACTCCTGACTAAAAAGTGGTTTGTTAGCTGAAAAGTACAACCTTCTAAAATGAAAATTTTGCAGAAAAATGCTGCAGTTCCACTTTTTCATGTCTCAGCAGAGCTATAAAGTCTTTAAAAAAAAGGAAAAGAACCCCAAGTATTTGATTTTGTCTCCAGTGACCAGTGGGACAGAACTGATGTGCACAGCTCAGGCAATAAGCAATAATGTCTCTAAAAAGCAATGCTAAGAATAAGAAATAAACCAGTCAGTTGCATATTAGGAAACAGCCCCACTTGCAGGTAGAAAGTTTAGGAACAGGATTATGGATCAGTTTTATAACATAATTTATTCTGGCTGATGTGGCAATATTCTGTCTAGCTGAAAAGAATCTTCCTAATACTAAAAGCCCACATAGTATCCTTCACTGTCTAGACTTTCTTACAGACATGGAATATATGAGCTGTGGTGAAATACATTTAGACAATAATACAGGGTGCAATAGAGTCTTGATGAAAGCATAATCAGGGTGTTAAAAGTCTCCAAGTCCAGAAAACCTAAAGCCTATGCATTCTTGGAGTGCAAAGTACTACAGAACCTCATGTATTAGCATTGGCAGGTAGATTTGAGGTTTCTAAATAAAAGCATCAGCAATTCAGACACATACTTCAGAGTTAGTCATGCTGAAGTAGATTATACTCCACAAAGGCCCACTGTAAAATGGACATTTAATAGTATAAACTGAGCTGTGCACTCATCTCACGAGTACCAAGCTCAGCAGCTGCAGTCTACACTGAAACCTCAGTAGGATCTATCAATGTATAAACTGTTTTCTATTAAGTATCTGTGAGAACAATAATGAAGTTAAACCTCATTTTTCCTGCTCTAGTGAGATGGTCTAAAAATGTCCAGTTATGTTGGGAGCCTTCGATACAATTAATGTTCTGACTGCAAGTAGCACTTTTAATGTCATATCAAATAGATTTAGTCCAAAGCTTTCTTGACAAAGTGTAGCATTGCCCTGGAGTGTTGTTGTTTTTTAAAAATAGCTTCTACAGAATTGCTCTGTGCTACCACTACTTGGTCTCAGAGGAGTGAAGGGGGTTTCTGTACAAGGCCAGAGCAACATGCCACTTCTGTTGCAATCACTAAGTTTTTTAACACTGATGAGGTGTTTTTCTTGTTTAAGATCAAAGAGTATCGGGACTTACTTAAGAAGATAGAACAAGGTCCAAAAAGTGGCAGGAATGGTGTTGGCTTGAGAGGCCCAGAGTACTGCCACATGGGTCTTTGCTTTTTCCATGTCATCGAAGGTTGACAGAGTGTCGTTCAGGAACATGCGGAGGGTGACAAGCTCAGAGAGGTTGTCCCTTTTCAGGAGGTTCTTGTGGAGCAGTGCCTCTCCCAGCTTCTCACGTGCACTGTGGGCACTCTTGAAGAGGTGGATGGGCAGTCCTGCCACAAGGGCTGGAAAAATCCTATCGAATTCCTTGAAGTGTTCAAGGGCATTTAGGATACGAACTCTCTCAGTTTCCTGCTTTGATGATAGGTTTTTGTCATTACTTGAATTAAATTCTTTACCAAAAAGGGTTAAAAAGCCAGACTCAAACATCACTTGGCAACAGAACGTATAAAGTCCTTCTGTCACCCAGGTGTTAGACTGAAGTTTAGGTGTTCTTGACTGAAGCATGACATACTGTAGGTTTTCCATCATTGCTTCAACGAGGGCATCTAGGGCATTGCCTTGAAGGGTTCTAATGAATGTCTGATGAAAATTTTCAGTGGTGTTTCCCTCTGCTGGGTCAATGCTACGATGCCCAAAAGCCTGTCAGAAAAAAAAATTGTATGCATGATAAGGAAGGCTTCTCATAACTTTGATGGCAAAGTCTAACAGAAATGAAAGCCACAGTTTAACTTCATAGCTTACTAGAGGGAAGCATAATAAGGGCTATTAATACTAGAGTTGATACTTTCTCAGTGAACCAGAGCAGTGAAATAGATTGAAATAGATGCTTACAAATAAATGGACATGGTTACCTAGGCTTTTATTCAACTCCCATTGACATCAACAGGAGACTTTTTGCTTACTTCCAGAATAGTTTGACTGAGCTCCTATTGTGGTGCATCATTTTGAGGCACTTAGACCAAATCTTCCAAAGCAGTAAGAACCTCCAGAAGGTTTCAGCTTCATCAAGCTGTATTATCATTTTGTGGATGATGTTAAGTGTATTTCTGCTTTAGCAATTTGGGATACTACATTGCTAAATAATGTACAGTCTTAGGACAACTCAAATCACTGCAAATTTCCTTTCCATTAAGGAAAGGGAAGAAAAAGGCCACAATCGTTTAAACAGTAAAAGCACAGAAATGTGAAACCAATTCTATTTCAAAGGCATAGTTATGCTATAGGGATTAACTGGGTATATCTGTCCTGCCAGCAGATACTTTGCATGTTAGATATTGAAACCAGCGGTACCTTGGCAGAAGTAGCAAAATGGAACTTTTTCCAATCCAAGTGTTTTCCCTGGCGCATCAGTGCATGATATGAAAAAGGGTCAGTCAGGAAATGAATGTATTTCCCTGCTACATGGCAAGTGAAGATGTGGCCATGCTTCTTCTGCTTTTCTCTGAGGAATTCCAGGGGGTTGGCACCAAACTGCAAGGCACAGCCCAGGTATGGAACGAACCCATTTTCAAGTGGTGGCTCACATTCTCTCCTAAAAAACACAAGCAAAAGCTGAATTTGTAAGTATGTACAAAGATCTCTTCTGCAGGACTACCAGTAAGTAAAATACTGATGCTAGGCTTTTTACAATATGAACAGAAACCCAAACAAACCACCACCAAAAAACCCCACAAAAAAACCCACAACAAAACACCTAAATAGTATATTGACAAAACATTTTCTACCCTTCAAGAGCTAAGCCTCTTGTGAGGCCTATGCTGTGTAAGACAGAACAACTTTAACAGCCTGTGTTATTAATTAACATAATAAAACACAGTTTGATTATGTCATCTTTCTTTTCCTTACATCAGGAGTATATTTTTCACCCGTTTAAATGCAAAATTGTTGCCATTCCCTAACATGCATAATTATGCAATTGTCACATTAGTGAATAATCCATCCCATTAATATTGTCTGATACATATTTGGGCATATGCTGAAATGATTTTTTTTTCTGAGTCAGAAAACTACTTTCCTGTGTAAGGATGCCATGGCTGCTAAAATAACTTTCATATAATACTTAAACTTTTCCAGCATATTATTAATAGTTATTATCTGAAGTTAACTGTTTTCAACTTTTCTTTAATCGAACTTTTTAAAATCAAACAAAAAAAATGGCTGCTGAAAAACACAAAAGCACAATAGTAAGCAAATTACTTGTTCCTTATGTAAATGTGCCAGTAGGATAAATGCTTTTAATGAATATGTATTTGACATAGTAAGGTACATAAATATTACCTGTATTAGACTGTGTTACTACATATGAAATAATATGAAAATGTTTCTAAATAGCTATTAAACTGTAATTAAATATAAACAGGTATTAGCTGTGATTACAATGCAGGTAAAACAACAGCCCACTACTTTAGGAAATAAGAACATTCATATTCAAATTTAATTGCCTCGTTTATGCATAGATTTGTATCTACAACTACCTCTAGGCATTGATACATTATTATTACAAAGTTTATACTCAAAAATTCTATTGTAACATAAATCTCTCAACAGACCAAACTACAGCATTGTCGATGCTCTCCTGTATCTGTCCGTCTGACAGTCTTAAGACTACACTTCTTTTAGTTATGTATGCAATATATTTGACACAAGTAAAGGCTAGGCACACTGAGATGCATTTACAGATAGATTCCTTACCTCCTCCTTCTCCCTAGAAGAAACCAAAATGCACAACAGAGTATTATCGCTGTTCCCCAGATCCAGGATGTCAGGAACATTTCTGGTGATGCCCAAAAACTTCCAAGTGGAAAACTGGTAATCACCAGTATGGCAGGAGAGGTAACTGAGAATGACACAGAAGACAGATCACGATTTATATACAGTGGGTACACCACTCTATCTGATGGCACTGAGTCAACCTAGCAAGCTACTGATTAACCATTTCTGGAGAGAGCTTGTTCTGTCTCTGTTCTGGTACCTTTCTGCAGAGAGCTTCACTGGACTGATGCAGACAGTTGCAGACCTGCCCTTGAGCTGATGTCACATATCAGTAGCGGTTCCAAAGTAACCAAACAGCTGTAATAATTGATAATTTGAAGGTCAGTCAGGTGTGTTTTGATCAATCCTTCAGATTTACCAACTGCAGTTTATAGTTCAAGTTTAGCAATGTATGAAATGGCTACTGACCAGACTGGTGGCTGCAGTTCCTGCTGTCCTTCAGCTGCCAGCTTGCTCCCCCTCCCTTCTTCTTCTGGACTGCCCTGGCTCTGGTGTGCCACTCAAGAGGGAACGGCGGGGTTCAGCTGTTGGGTAAAGGGATGGCTGCGGAGGTGGACTTACTTCCTCTAACAACATGAATGTACTTCCACAGAATCTTAGAATGAATCATAGAATAGTTTGGTTTGAAAGGGACCGTAAAGATTGTCTACTTCCAGCCCTCTGCTGTGGGGAAGGATATCTTTCACTTGACCAGGTTGCTCGAAGCCCCATCTAATCTGGCCTTGAACACTTTCAGGGATGCTTTCTGTAATGCAGCATGAGACATTAGACAGCAGGATTGAACAACCATACTGGTTTGAGGTTTTTTAATCACCTTTTATTTTCCCATTAAACCTTTTCCCCTTTCTGTTGTCGACTGATGAGAGTTCAAACTTCGGCTTGCTCCTAGCACCTGGCACCAAACTGTTGAGGAGGCAGCTCAAGTATAGTGATCTTTCATTAGTCATCCAAGGCCTAATATGTTTCTAAGAGAGAAACTGAAGGGATTTAGTCACTTCTTCAGGCTCACTTTTGTACCTGCTTTTGTCGGTGTCCCTACATCTGTGTGACAAAACAGCAAAGATCTGGACCTTTTGCTATTGAAATTGAACACTACATGAAGGTATTGAGATGCAAATCTGGCAGATGGGAATGTTGTCCTGACTTCAAACCAAGACAGGTGGTGAGGCAGGGGGTAACTGCACATGCCATTACGTTAGAGGTAATTTTAAAGTTGCTATACTGAAGAAATAAACCCTGTTTACAGGTTTGCCTTCACTTCTTTGTGTCAGCTCAACTTCCAGTCCCCTATTCTATTTTCATTTAAGCACGGGTGTTTCTTTTATTTTCCTATAAAACCTTCTGTTTCATCATCTGAATTTAGCTTGTTATTATATAATCACTTTATCCAAACCTTGTTTTCCCATTTCCTGCTTGTTTGTGTTATGGAAAATTTCAGATCTGGGTATCATATTTGACTTCATCCTATGAGTTCCTCATCCTAAACAAGCATAATAATTTTATTATATTTGTGTCTAATTCTTTTTGCATGTGTAGGTCTTGGCCTTTTTTATATCCAGAGAAGACTGAGCAAGAAAGCTGGAAATTCCTGTGTTTTGTGTCCAGCACAGGAATAATGTTTAGGCAGCAACAGATGCCTGTGGCTCCTCACACTACCTCATGTTGCACTAGGTAGAGCTGTCAGTCATACTTGCCTTTTCCTTCCATTCTTTCGGTTGTTTTACTGCAATGTGATGATAATATCATTCTTAACAGCTTCCTGCTGCCAGGAAAAAGCAACAGCAACTTCTCTAAAGTAAACAGTAACTAAAGATGCCCACCTTCCTTCACCTTTTGCTTTTTACATATATAGTGGTACTAAAAGTATAACCAGATATAGGCAAAGCACAGAAGCTGCTTGTCAGCCTACCTTCAATAATTGCTTTTTCTCTCAGGAAAATCTTAAATAAGTCAACTGATGCCCCCAAAGCCAGTCAGTACTAGAGTAGGCTGCAGCCTCTGACATACATCCTTGTGATATAAAGTGTTGTCTGCCACAGATACTCCCCCAAATTCAGCAGATGATAAGTGTGAATCTCCTTTCTTTTATATCAGTGAGCATTAGGCCTTCCTGATTTTTCAGCAGCACCAGTTTCAGACAGACACGCAGTATCTGGCTGGACACTGTGTCCCATTTCCCACTGCCAACGCTCAGGCAGTTGCCACCAATCTGTACAGCTGGGATTGAAGGCACCATGTGGTCTGACACTGATTGACAGATATCACATTTTCTGCAGCACGTTGTGCGTTGTGTGACCTTGGCTCTCTTGCCCCAGCCCAAGAGGGTGACCCATAGGGGTTATGGATGCAGTCAGAAAAAACATGCTGGCTGGTTTCACCTTGGCTTCGTGAAGAGGTCTCCTAGTGCAAACGGTAAGAAGAGTATTAATGCAAAGAACTGACATGACTTGGGCTCAAGACACACTTCAGGCCAATGACAGCATCAGGAATAAAGCACCACATGTTTTTGAATGTGTAAGTCCTTGTCACTGCAGGTTTGAATGTGGGTGTTCATCCCTTAAAAACTCAGCAATGCATTAAGACGGTGGTAAGAAAATGCAAAACCTTTTAACAACTGTCATTTGACCTTTTGGTTAAGCCCCAGTGCACACTAAGGTAGAACCAGTCCAAGAAGAGCAGCTCAAAAGCACAGGGATGCCGGCAAAGCCACATGCTGGCAGTTTTACCCAGTACAGTGTGTTTAGCATCTGTTTCCACCAGAGCCTGGCTGCCCACACTGGCTACAAGGTCAGCAGAGATACAGTTCTGCTCACATCCTCAAGGCCAGGACTTTTGTTACATCACACCACTTCCTCCCAAAGGGCACCAAGGCAGTTTTCACCCAGATACACTCACTGGCTGTGGGCAGCAGAGGCTACCAGGAGCACTCATATCTACCACCTCTGCTTCAAATGGTGAAGTATGTTTGTTTGTGGTCTCCATGGAGCCAATACTATTCCCATAAGGCAAACAGGCCCAGCATTGATTCCTGAAGCCTAAGGGAAGCCTTCAGGCTTGCTCTGTACTGCTGCTCAGAGACAACTCACAAACCATCCAAATCCCAGCTTCAGCTAATGCATTGGAGCTGTATGGCTTTCGTTAGTCATGACCTACACATGGTGTTTAAATAGATGGTAATAGATAGACCAAGCTGAGGCAAAACACTTTTTTCCAGGGTTACTGGTGGTTTCATAACTCAGGAGCACTGGTTCACAAAAGGGCATGATAGAGTTAGGAGAGGCTGCTGATTACATTTGGCAGTAAATCGCAAATTTCCACACAGCTAACCATAAAACCTGTTTATTCACTGGAAGTAAGTAAGAGGTACACTATGTAAAGAAAGGATTGACTTTTCTTCTCTTGCATGTGTAGCAAGAACTGGGTTAATACCTTTCCTCAAGACAGAACACTGAAACCACACAAATAAAGCATTTTGCTCAGCAGTGGGAAGGCAGCCTTGTAGTTTACAGGACAGGAGCAGGCTGACACGCTACAGCCAGGAGATGCAATTGCATCTATGAAACATTTCTGCAGCCGTGAAACATGTAAAAGACAGCTCAGAAGGGTGGAGCAATATGAAAGGAGGCCTAAACAAGAAGTTGCACAGCATAGCTGCTTGTAGCTCAGAACCTTTTGCAGCCAGAAAACAGCTAATAAATAACTATATGTCACCACCTGCTGGTAGACCTCTTTGTGTGGCACTTGTGTGTTGTGTTCTACAGCAGTTACTGAACTGTGCAAGTCAATATTTGTTTCTTGTTTCTATAAAACAAAAAATGGTATTTATTCTTCATGCCTATGTATTTTTGTTTGTATTTACATACAAGTATTACTTTTATGGAGGTATGGAGATATGCTGGGTATGACCGCTGAGGTTCCTCAGGCACAAGGTGAAAACCTGGCTTTTCTGGGGTCACTGCAAATGTTGCCTTCAAAAAAATTAGGGCTTTACTCTTCTCCAGCCATGAGAAACAGCTATTTTTAGAGAGGAATGATGGTTTCCTCACACAGGATGCTGCACTGTGGGGACAGTCCAGAAACTGAAGGTCCTTGTGCAGCATCAGTGTTGACTTTGATGCAACTACCATATGCCTACAAACAGGAAAGCATCAGTGATGCTCCAGGCAGGGAGGAGAGAACGCTGTCTGCCATGGCCACTAGCAACAACAGACCTGACCTCCAACCATGGCATGCCATTGCTCAGCCTGCCTTCATAAATTAGCTGCTGTTACCAAGTGATCATACCAGAAATGCAGTATCTTCCCCAGAGAGACTGTAATTCCAAAAATAAATCCAACATTTTCCTACTTGGATTCACTTTTCTGGTTTTCCTGGGTCAGCGGAATGGGTGGAAGTCTTTTATACCTAAATAATAATAAAGTATCTAAAAGAATATGAGTAAAATGCTATTTAAATGCTGTAGAGAATAATGCCAATCAATTTAATCATTTAATGATCTACACAATCTAAACTAAATTCATGCTACTACAGTATCACTATACAGCTCTATTTTAGCAACTTTCATGATTGTTGAAAGTGCAGATTTTGCCTATATAGCACTCTGCCTTCTGCAGGATTTGTGAGTCATCTGGCTGCAGGGAAATAGTGTGCTCATATTTCTTTTTAAAAAATTAATTATTGTTCTAATTTTATTTTTCTGTACATTGTATGGAGATTGTAGAGATATGACTCTTTTGTAATCTGGTATCTTTGTGATATATTTGACCCTGTCATTTTTATTTTTTCATGATGAAGCACTCTGCATATACAATGCCTTGTATTTGCATTAGGATAATCCACATTGATGGGCTATAAAGTTGGACAGGCTTGGGAACTGGGTTTATTTGCATCCTGTTTGAGTACAATTGCCCCATAGCATTTAAATAATAGTATGGGCAGATGTTTCCTCTGATGACCAAGTTCATATTTCCATATTTATCTCAGAGTATCCTCTGAATGT